ATTTGATACGATCTCTTATCCATCATTAATGTGGCCTAAATGTGGAATAGACATCCCTCTTTTTTGCAAATGGTGTTAATCCTCCTCTTCTCATTATACACTAACTTCATGGCAAAGCCTCTTTGAATTATGTAATCCTTAAAAACCTTTCTAAAATGGCCGACACTCATAAACACTTGCCCAACCTTTGAGTGCATCTTCTTATCAACCCCATTCTTAAACTCATATTGCTTCCAATGCCTACTCATCTTACTTACAATATCATCCTCCCCAATTTCATCCCCTTTCTCAATGTTATGCCCATGATCAGACAAAAGACCCCCACTGTCAACCCTAACCTCATCCCTATTATCACCATCTACCTCACCTTGAACATTCTCCCCAGCATCTTCATCACCACTTACATTGACAACACCATGGACATAACCTTGTACATTCTCCCCACCATCACCATCATCTTCGTCAGACACATCACTCCAATGAAACTCATCCTCAAAAGAATTTTGTTCGAGAATTTGTGGCTATGCATCAATAGTTTTCGGGCATGTGTTAGCTTCTAGAAAAGCTGGTAAGGATTCTATTATTTGTACAGGCAAAGCTTCGACAAACAACTTAATGTCAACTACCCCTTTCAACCCATACTCCTGAAAAATAAACATTACATCGTCGTCACTGTTTAATAAGTATCTCTCCCTAGACCTAGGTAACATAACTTCTACCCTAAACTTCTCATCAGGGAAAAGGTTTACTTCCTCATTCTCCTTAGCCACACATTTCTTCATGTCCTTAATCAACACAATGTAACTAAATTCATTAGGGTCCACATTCCGAATCTCACTGTCAACTCCGAACAAATTGAATTTGAAATTGAACTTTTATTGCTTCATCTTGCAAAACACAAATACATAATCATTATGCCAAGTTATACATTAAGTTCAAAGTTGCACAATGCATGCCGTTCATTACATATCAAGCAAAAGAAACTTTTAAGGAATTCATTCCATTCAATGACTCTTATGGAATTCATTCCATTCAATGACTCTTATTTGGACTTCATGTTATTCCTTATTATCCCATGTTATTTGGAATTCAATCAACAATTTTTTTTTTTCAACAAAAACCACAGAAAAAAAAAATTAATGGAGTGTTGGTAAAATTTAACCATTCCATAAGGTGTTTATATCATATTAATAGATAAACATATCATGCATAAGAAGTGAGTATAAAAAAGAAGATGATATAAAAAAGAAATGATGCTACTGAAGTTGTCCCATATTTTAACATTTTATTAAATATTAAAGCAAAAGCAGGCAAAACCTTATATATTAAACTTTATTTTTCCTGGCTGTTGGTGCAAGTAAACAAAACCTTATATTGTTAAATATTTCTCAAAATAATAAATTACATTACCAAATTCATTCAGACAAACAATCAGACACAAGAAAATTAAAACTTACGCAACCACCAAGAACTTCCATGTATTAATTGATAGTGATGTCATCACATAATGAAATACTATAAAAGGATATATACTGCAAAATACATGGGGAAAACAACTACACTGATATAATGTTGTAAAAAAAAAAATTGCCAACTGTTAATGCCCCACTGCTAATTTTATCAAACAAATTTTTTTGACCAACCTCAAAAATTCTTTGACCTATAATTTATGGCTAATTGACTGATATTTCTATAATAGGCAGGTAAATTAAACAAAGGGATGTGTATCTGGAAGCTAATTTCACTTGAATATAAAACACAATTTGCATGCCTTAGTAAAATATAATATCATCACATGGCCTATGACTACGATTATAAGATTTAAGTCTCCCAACACAACATAAGTTTAGACAATTTCTCAACTTCATCAATTCAGATTCACCATCAGGTGGCACAAAACTCACAATTTTCTCCGAATCAAACCTCGTCAAGTTCACACATTGATGGAAAGTAAAATCATCAAGCTCAATTGTTTGACTAGTACAACAAATAGCAATTTCAATTAACCACATGAAAAGGAACATAAATTGCAGTTCTTTATGTTAAATATGTATAATCTCAAACAAAATGCAACACTCAATATACTGACTCATATATATATATATATATACAGTTCTTTATTTAAATATGTATAATCTCAAACAAAATGCAACACTCAATATACTGACTCATATATATATATATATATATATATATATATATATATATATACACACACACATTAAAAGAACAAAGCAAACCTTGCATCTCTCATTCAAATTCAAATAAAATCCAAACATGACTATGATTTGAAACTAATTTCATAAACCCAACTATATCTTGATTTCTATTAGACAAGCAATTTATACACATATATAAATAATTTGGACCAAGAAAACTAATAGCCTTCATACATCAGCAAAGGTTTGCACATAGTCATAGACATTAAGAATCTAAAAAGTTGTGCAAAGCTATGGGTAAAGAATGAAAACCATATTATCATGGCTTTATTTAATCCATAGAAGCAAAAAATTATAATAGTGTATTACAACTCCATTAAAAGAGTATCACAGACACAACAATAGATGGCTCATGGCTTTATTTTGCATGTCGTATGTAAACATAAACCACAAAAAACTAAAAGAAGACTACCTCCAAAAGTCTGAATGGTCGCTAACATTAACCCTATCTTTAGCAATCTAGAAGCAAGCCAAATTCGCACTTAGCCGTCCAATCATGACTCAAACTTGCTTCAAACCCTTGTTGTTCGCCAAAGAAACTCCACTACCACAACCCAAAACCTTGTCGACAACACCTTTAACCGAGCCAAAACTCCAAACTCTCCAACCACCAGTCTAACCCTTCAATGCAAGTGACCGTTAAAACTCAAACGTCGTCAAAAACAACTGCCAGAATCACTAGAAACTAGTGGAAGTTTGGTAGCAGAAAACGTACACCTTGCCTCTTCCAGAACACACAAGAAGTGATAGATTTTGCCTTTTTGTTTTCCTTACTTGAGTCAACTTCTAGGCCACATGTCACTTATAACTGCCTTTTTTAAAATTTGATTTTGCCTTTTTTAAAAGCAAGTGATATACTGGCTTTATTTTTAAAATTAGATTTCACATAGAAAATATTTAATGACGATTCTGCCCTCACTTATAACTGCCTTTTTATTATCTTGCCCTTTCTCACAACTTAAATTACTAACAGATTTTTGCTTTGAGTGTGAAAGTGTCGTTACGCTATTTTTCGGGTGGGAAAAAGTCATTAACTCGCAATTTAGTTAGGTGAATGAAACAACTGAAAGATAAAAACAAAAGAGAAAAATCAAGTTGAGCAGTTGAAACTTTAGGGTCCGTTTGGTTCACTATTTTGTACTTTTTAAAATAGTTTTTGGAAAAAGTTGAATTGAGTAGTATTTTGAGAAGTTTTTTGTACATTTTTTAATCACTTTTTTTAACCCCCTAAGTTTGTTAATTTAACTAAACACCCATAATAATAAAAATTTATAAATTGACAAAAAAAAAAAAAGCCCCACAGACCCACCCACATTTACCAGATTTCGGCCACCATTGCTGAAATTTGCTGTAATAAAGTATTATTGACTAGATCTGATTGGTAGTGCGCCGATTTGACCTTTTCTGACCAGATACATGGTGGATTTGGCTAGAAAACGTCAAATTTACAGCCATAGATCTGGCCGTCAAATGATGGCCAAGATATGACCGTCGTCAAATGCTAGATGTGGCCAAATGTGGCCATCAACAGCCACATCTTTAGTTGTAGATCTGGTCAAAAAAGACCAGATCAACGTACTACTGACCAAATCCAGTCAGTAAACATGTGATGTCAATTATCGTAACCACTCATCTCATGAAACTAAATGACAATCAAGTATTTGCCTTGATACTTAACAAAAAAAAAAAAAAAAAAGTATTTGCCTTGATAATATTTGTTGTCAAGGGCCATGGAACTTTTGCTGAATAGATCACTAGTACTAACTATATCTTCCATACAACCAACAATTCGTCTAATCATCAAGTTCTAAGAAGGCATCAGGCACTCAGCAAACATAAAAAATAAAAATAAGCAACCTGCATGTCACCACAAACATGAACATATAAAGATCAGTAAATTTAGTGGGATGCTCGTTTGCATCCCTAAGTATATTGCTTCAGCAGCTTCATGTCTGACCATGGGATGCTCGTTTGCATCCCTAAGTATATTGCTAAGTGCAGCTAAAGCAGTCTTGTTTTGCAATTGGCCCAACACATAAGCAACCTGCATGTCACCACAAACATGAACATCTATAGATCAGTAAATTTAGTGGACAGAAACCACATCAAGCAAGGCATGTTTCAAATTAACACTCTCTAGTTAACCTTCACCAAAAGGTCCTTTCTTAATAAAATAATTCCAGCCAAATTTCCTAAAGATTGCTACACCTATAAATCTCATCCACATTCAGTGAATCAGCAGATATCAATAATTACAATTTGACATCCATCCACAGGAACCCTGGCACAGGCTCGACGTAGCATAGAATAATTAGATTAAACTTGACAAACCTCATGCTTCAGCAGGGCACTTTTGGGGCCTAAAGAATCAATTATAGCAGAAACAGCCATTTTCACCGGAACATCTCTTTACTTGATTGGCTATGGTATGTATTTGAGCGACAGAGTCCGGTTTTTGAAGAGGTTTCGGGGTTAACAAACGGTTATAATTCGTTATTCTTCTCGTATACCTTACAGTCATTTTCTTTATTGCGGCAACTGAAAAATAACAAGATAATAAGATGATGTCGTTTAATAGCACCAAAACTTAAGGGTTATTGTAACTTGATTAATTGTTTTATGTGCCTTGAATTCTGTGATGTGGACCAATCGTTGATATCGGTTGTGATTAAAAGAATTTTATGATATATTTATTTGGAATATTTATGACCACAAAAGAAAAATAAATCATTTAGGGACAACTCAGGGGAAAATACCAATTACTCCAGAAAATTACCCAGAATCACGGCAAGGCATTTACTTATGGAGCACGCTCTAAGCTAAAGATCCCACACACAGACACGGCTTAGGTTACTACTACTAATAGATATTGTTTCTTTAACACCCAAACAAAGACCAAATTTAGTAATTTACAAAAACAGAGTCTCTCAAATGCTTTTAAGCAAGTACAAACCATAGCCAGTGCCAAAGGGTTTCAACTTGAAATCTATGTGGCACGGCCATAAGTTTTATTAATCTTTGCTTTAAATTCCATGTCGGGCATCAGAGCTTGAAACCATTCAGGGTTGAAGTACCATCATGGCTTTTTGATAGATAATGGGCAAAATATTCAGAATAGCTTATTTCCCTGTATATGGGAGGATTTGACTTCAGATAGCAGCTCTTTCACTGGTCCAAATGTTTTGTCTCTTTTACTGGTAAATGGAAGGAAGAAACATGAAGCTGAAACCTGATTTCCAACACTTCCAGCCACCACTCTATGCATCACACTTTTGAACTTATCATTGCTGATCAGCTACAAAAACACGTACCAAAGTAATTAACAACAGTTTTAGGCTTCAATTTTAGAATATCATAAACTTACTTGCTATGCTATTTCATTAATAATATAACATACCAACAAAAAGTTTCACTACGTTTGCTAGCAGAGATCCCTGCAAATGGGGCACATCAACCTATTGATTATCATGAAGAATTTGAAGGCCACCAGTATTGTCCTGCAAAAGTATGGTTAAAAAGGAAGGATCTGAATGGTTGGCGACTCCTGGAGTTAAGTTTGGTTCAGGGCATATGGGGTAATAGTTACACCCAAGAGACGCAGTTTTCATGCACTCAATGCTTTCTAGATACTCACTGCTTAGACCTAGAGCCTCAGTAACTCATATAATGTCTTCTTTAGTTGAAACATGTACTTCATGAACTCACCGATTGGCTCTCTGCAAAAACAAAGCTCCATAAACTGGGTTGCATATCCTGGATTAGGTTCTTTTATTCATTTTTTAATATAAATCTCTATAATTACCTGCAAACAATAGGCAAGGCTTCTGTGTCCAACTGTTCATCAAAATACAAACATTTTAAGGTGTCCCTCCAGTTCCCTGGTTTTGATTTGTTGATATATTCATTACTGTAAAATCTCACTGGTTGGCTCCTATCATGTGAGTAATACTTGAACTTCACTTCATAGGGTTGCTCATGGAACTCATGTAAACAGGCTAAAAGCTTATCCATAATCTCATCTGGAACTCCATGATTTATCCTCTGAAAGAAACCCCACGTTTTCGCTGCACCATGCATGGCTTTCACAATCTCAGGTCTTCGATCACTACTTTCAAAGCGTTTTAGATCGATCACTGGAACATGAGCGTTGGATGATGACTTTGGCACGTTGTCCGGCGGATGGATGAAGATTCTTGGCAGCTTGACCACGCCAGAGTCAACAAGGCCTTTCACTCCAGCTTTTGTTTCATTGAAGTCATCCATTTCTTTGACATGATCATATTCCAAGCCATCATTGACAACAGTTTTTTCAGCGTGAGAAATGACTTCCATCTGGCAAATACCGGAGGTGGAAAATGAGTGGCTTAATGAAAACTCAGGTTAGTTGGCTTAAATTCGGATTAAAATGAGTGGCGTGATGAAAACTCTGGTTAGTTGGCTTAAATTTGGATTAAAATGAGTGGCTTAATGAAAACTCAGCTTGATAAAATGGGGTTAAATTTGGATTAGGTGAGCAGTGGTTTACTGTTTATACTTTATAGACTCCAATAAGCTTTTTGGTCTGATCTTGTAGTCATTATCATCCAGGATTTCCATAGATTTGGTCCAACAGCGAGGGCCGAGTTATAACGTGTGGCACTGGAAGGATATAAAAGTAGTCTGTAAGACTTTTTTTAACATATAGTTTACTGAACTGGGGTTTTGATAGGTTATATTTCTAACATATTAACATTCTACAGTAAAAGCTAACAAATTTACAAAGGTTTAGTTTAATTATTGAAAGTCAGATGAATTTTTCTTTTTCATCACACTCATTGAACAACAAGGCTCAACAGCCTCCATTAATTAATCGGTGATGCAGATGACATTGGGTATTGATAGCGATGCCTATGTATTATTGTTTCAGCTTAAGCCTTTAGCAGATGTTTGTCAAAATGAACGCGTTGAATTGTCAACTGAAAATCTTTTTCCCATTAAAAACAAGTGCAGAAAATTAGTTTTCTATTTAACTACTTTAAACAGTAATTATTACTATACAAAATAATAATAGTGGATGACTTATGCCTTGCTCAGTTTGACCATCAATTGATATACAGAGGAACCCGTTTTGCTATATATATATATAGATCCAAAGGACTAGACGATAACACATGCAATTGAAATGAATCGAATTTAAGACATTTTTAATAATATACTTTAAAATCCTAATTAACCACTTGACTATGAATCATCTAAGTAGTTGTTTAAGTCTTCGATTTTTGCTACCAAAAATTCCTTCAAATTTGGCACATCAACCCGGCCCGATGATTATCGTGAAGAATTTGGAGCTCATCAGTTATCCTAAAACACTTAAAAAAATATGAATACACTTTTGGGGAATAATAAATATAAAAAATTAATCTGAAGGTGTGCCTCCAGTTCCCTAACATAAGAACTCGAAACCACTGGAGCTCAATGTCTTTTGATTAATAATACGGAAAACATCTACGATAGTTTACTTCCCTGTATAATTGGAAGGGAGAAAACACGGAGCAGAAACTCAATTTCCAACGCTTACGGCTACCAAGCACTCTATGCATCACACCTTTGAACTCGCATTGTTGATAACCTACCCAATACAATTTAAATGATTTAAGTAACAATACCTACATAAAGTATTCAATGTTCGATACCAAAGATCACATCAGCCCACTGATTATTGTCCTGCGAAAGATCTAGTAAATGTTGGGGGACTTCTGCAGTCAAGTGAGGTTCAGAAAACCCAAGACACACTGGAGCCTCGGTGGATGTATCTCATATATACTGCCTCCCTCCGGTTGAAACATCTACTTCATTGACTCAATGACTAGCTCTCAACCTACATAAAACTGAGTTTCATATGCGTGATTTCAAATATGTTAAACTATGATAATTTTTTTATGAATTTCACTAGATACTGTTATAATTGTTCCTGAGTTTCTTGACGCATCAAATGAAGGCTAATTCAGCCTTGAATAATATCCACAGAACCAATTATGGTATCAATCGGAGGAATTTGCTTAACACTGAAACTGTGGGCATCCAGTGATAAATAAAATTTAAATATCTCCCCTCCGAAAAGATGCTTTGTTGGTTTCTGCAATTACAAAATTTCTACTTTTACGTTTCAGATACATCCAAAGGTGGACACTAAACTAGAAATTCCACTTGCACGATTATAAATTTTGTCTACGTCTCATAGCTGGCTTCACGATACAAGTCCAGCTGTCTCAATTTAATCACAGTTTGTTTTGGATGGAATGGAAATGGAAATGCAACCCAATTTACGATCACTTACATTACATGCAGCCAACATTTCTCATGGTATTACATATCTCTGTCTCATCAATCAATGCGTGTGGTGGGCATTTAGAATTATACAAAATTAATAAATTTGTCAAGAGATGAACCCAAATCAGAAAGAATATATATTGGGATTCAATTCTTCTGTCCAGTACTTGTTGGGACATGCCCTTAAATTTAATTTCCTTTTGTTTACCAGGCCATCCCGGTTCCGAGTGCAGACAAAGCATCATTTTTAAGACTGGAGAATTGAGATCGATGTGACATATACATCATTTCGAGAAATAGAAGCCAACAATTTGAGAAAGTGAAATTTAGCCTTTGTCATTGTGCTGACAAAATTCTGTGGGAGCCTCTCAAGATTGTGAGGGTTAGAGAAAATCCAAAAAGTGGGGTATCAGACTATCTTGGCCTTTAATTTACAATAATCAAATGCATATGGCTTACCAGATTCTTTCATTCAGCATAAGAATCTTTCTACTCTTTTCTTGTGCTTGAGCGGTCATATTCATTTAGCATAAGCATCTTTGAAGTTCTTCACACTTTCCTGTAGTCTTCTTGAAAGTTCATCACCAACGTCTTAAATTTGGCTCTAATCACTGCAACTTATCATCCATCACATACCATTCCTAAAATGGAATTCATTTCTAGTGCTGAGAATTCTGTTTTAGAAGATTGTTCATCTTATGACAAAGCTAAGGAAGTGAAGGAGTTTGATGAGACCAAAGCTGGAGTTAAAGGACTAGTTGACTCCGGTGTTATCAAGATTCCTAGATTTTTCGTCCATTCCCAAGAAAACCTCCCAAAATCATCGGATACCTGTAATTTTTGTCTCCAAATTCCACTGATAGATCTTCAAGGCTTTGAAGGGTGTCGACGAACCGAGATAGTAAATAAAATTCGTGAAGCATCAGAAACATGGGGTTTCTTTCAAGTGATTAACCACACAGTTCCAGTCAGTGTTATGGAAGAGATGATAGAAGGGGTGAGAGGATTCCATGAGCAACCCAAAGAGGTGAAGATGGAGATGTACTCTCGTGACACCAAGAATCTTGTAAGATACTTTTGCAATGGAGATCTACTAGTGACAAAAGCGGCAGCCAATTGGCGGGATTCAATAGCATTTGATTTCCTGGATGGTCAACTGGAACCTCAACTCTTTCCTGAAATATGCAGGTATATATATATTAAGTTGTAAAAACACTACCTAACTTGACCTTGAGGGAACTTAATTTGTAATTGCTCCCGACTCTTACTGTTTCACAGAAAAGCAGTGAGTGAGTACATAAAACATATGATCAAACTGAGAACAATACTAGCAGCTCTAATATCAGAGGCTTTGGGGCTATCAAGTGACCACCTTGCAAGCATGGAATGCATGGAAACGGAATCCTTGGTGTGTCACTACTACCCGTCTTGTCCTGAGCCAGATTTGACACTTGGTACCGCCAAGCATACGGACCCATCATTTCTCACTATTCTTTTGCAAGACAATATCGGTGGCCTCCAGGTTCTACATCAAAATCACTGGATTGATGTGCCCTTTGTACAGGGAACTTTAGTCATCAACATAGGTGATTTGATTCAGGTGGGATAATTAACTTCATGTGTACGCATGCACTCCTTTGATGTATTTCAATTTTCTAGCCTAATAATTAATTTCTCTCCATTTTGTGTAGCTTATCACCAATGACAAATTTAGAAGCGTGGAACATAGGGTACTGGCGGGAAGAGTTGGACCCAGAATATCAGTTGCTTGCCTTTTCTATCCAAGTAGGATGAATAAATTTAAACCCTATGAACCAATAAGAGAGCTTCTATCTCAGTCTGACCATCCCCCGATTTACAGAGGAACTCCTTTTGCTGAATTTGTGGCCCATTTCAGGTCCAAAGGTCTAGACGGTAACTCAACCCTTGCTCATTTTAAATTAGAGTGACCCTGTGCGATGCCAACAATTACATAATTAGATCTATGGTTGACATAAATTAGCCAATCATGATAATACTATATTAACTGTTGTACTTTGTTTCACTTTATGTAATTTTTACTTTTTAACCATCGTAGCTTATGAATGTAAATCCTCAATAACCATAAAGACCTGAAATAAATGAAAGACCATCAAAGAAGTTGGCAACCATTACAATTACAGAGATTGGATTTCTAAGGCACTCTTATCATTACAATTATCAAGCTTTCAAAATTCAAACAAATGGACTAAATGGTATCTCCACACACAAGAAAAAAGCAAAAATGATCCTTGAAATCACCTTTTTTTTTTTTTTTTTTTTTTAAAATCTCCCCTCTATCTTCCTCTTTTGGTTACAAAAAAGAATTCAGGGGCCAAATGCCACAAAGATCAGAAATGTTTCACTATATATTACAGAGGGGCCAATTTGGTTGTCTCCCAAGAGATGACCAGCCACTTGTTAGCTGCACATAGTCTTTGATTGCAATATTTGCACAAGAGACCACAAGACATCCATTCTGCGCATGATTCTGTTTTCCTGTCCCTGTATTGATCAAAAGTTCAAGATTAGTTTCAAGATTAAGCAATATTTTTACACTGGTGAAAGGATTGACGTAATCAGGTTATTCGTTGCCTGCACAGGCCATGTATGCATAGATGTTAAAAGTACAGTATGGGTTGTAATCGAAGACTTGAACATCTAATTGAAACCTCAAGAGTTGAAGATTTAGATTTCATAAAGACAAACAGGTGTGGGTCATGTTTTAAAGTAAGTGATACATTTTACAATTCGCCGCTTTCTAAATGGTTTCCATAAGTCCATGAACATGAGATGTGAAGGTTGGCATGTTTCATTCGCATGCCACAGATATCTTTCAAGCAAAAATCTAATCAACCCAATCATCAGTAAGATTATGGCCTGTGATTAAATAGAAAAAAAAAGGGTAATTGTAATGCACATAACATAAGTATACAATATAACATCAGGATTCATCATGTTTCAAACATACCATTTTTTAAAATTTTTGAATAATGACACAAGTTACAACTTTTCATCAGTTAATGCATGATTAAAGAAGTTGAGGCATACAGGTGAAGAAGTGCTGCATATTGAATATACTCTTGAGAAAATAAAACCTGGAAAAGATATGCAGCTGTATAGAGAACACAACCAGTAGGCTTTGTGCTTTTTCCAGAAAATTTAAAACATAATTCATCCAGAAGAAAAGGATCCACCTCAACCACAAAAAATATCCATGTCTTATCACCATGCGCTTCTGTAACTCCTTTTAAGATTGTCAGACCCAAGCTTCTGATGCTTCTGCTATCTCAAGAAAGTGACTGCATTCCTCGACACAGCATCTGAACAAATCAACCAGCACACTTCTAAAACTTCCGCTTTCTCTTTATAAGACTTTTTTTTTCATTTATTAACTTCTGGATTATTTTACTTATAGAAACACTTGTGCTTCCACCAAAACAATGAATATTCACTTGCAAAAGTACATCGTGATATACATACCTCAACAAGCATCTGCCCATTTTTGTTTAGGTCTACTACAATTGAACAAACTTTCAGATGGCTTCCACCTCCACAGCCCAGCTTGAACCCTGTTCATAATTGGATGAATCTTGAATGCCTGTTGCTTTTTGCTGCATCTGCAAAAACCGCAGCAAGATGTCACACGAAGAACAACTGTGGAACACACCTAAGAAACGAAGTAATTTTGATAGCTCTTCCTACAGGCCATAGAATTTGGAATGCCCTGAGTGCCGAATATATCTAACAAAGCCAAACATCATCAGGTAGATATACTTGAAGAGACAATCACAGACACTTGTTTTCCTGTTCCTAAAAAATATTTCTCTTCTTTAAGAGAAAAAAACAACCTGATTTTCAGAACACTTGTACAAAGTTTGCAGAAACTGTTCTCAAACAACTAACAGCTAGCACAATTATGATAACCAGTAAGAAATGATTAATAGTACACATATTTGTATTTAGAATTCGAAGCCTTTGGGTAGAAACACCAGAAAGAAAATAAACCCCAAAAAAACCAAATTAGGTCATTAAACGGATTATTCCATATATATGGAGGCTTCCTGGTTCTTTATTTACCAAACCAGGGGATCAAGATAATCTACAAGCCAAATGCCTGAGCCTTTTACCTCGATTCAGCACATTTGCTGAGCTTGTCAGCATGCTTAGTGAGCTTTGCAGAAATAGCATGTGCTGATTGTTCGCTCCAGCAAGGAATCAATACTACACTGCAATTTCTGAATTTTTCAGCACATATCATGGAACATTTTTAACGAAAAGGAATTGCAAATATCACAATGGAAAAGTTAGATACCTTTGATCCATTTGGCACAAGCTCTCTCAGCTCCTTGATACGATCTGAATCAGTTGTCTGTCCCTGGCCTAGGCCTACAATTTTCACCAGGTTAGCCCTCTTTTATTGTTCTTAGCAGGTCTGAAGACCTGTCCAACTGTTCACTACAAGTGCTTGGGCAAGTTGATGAAAACCCTTTTGAAGACATTGCACCACACACCTCTGATGAACTCAAGCACTTCTTTATGTCTTCTTCTACAAGAGAGGATTGATTATAGATAATCATGAATTAACAGTATGCTTAGTCTGGCTAGAAGGCTCGGGCATTTTTTCGGCTGTCAATAGTGACTGCCTGATTTACGAAAGATCTACCACTTTTAACATCACTGCCACTTTGGCAAACATTAGCACTACAGCTTCTAGAAGACTCTCTGAGCCAGAGTCAAATGGCAAGTGACTGCTGCTCATCACCTCTGGCATCTCCAGTTTCAGCTCAGATTTTTGATTCCATTTCATTATAGATACCTTTCTTCAGAAAAGCAGGTCCTAGAGCTTCATGCAGTCAGAACCAGCAGAGACTTCAGATGCATCTGATGGGTTTAATGACTGAATTCAGTTTGATTCCCTAACTTCTCAAGATCTTTATGGAATTGCAAATCTGAAGATTCAGATACATACAACATCCCATTTTGTAAGAATCCATGCATTCCAACTAACTCTGTCATTAAGAGTGGAGTCAAGCGGGTTTGAAGGGAAATATGCGTGATCAACAACAAAAATTTCAGCTGGAAATGCAACACTACTAAATTTATGCTATTGATAACAGAATTGATTGAAAATGGAGGGACATTTTCTGATACTATGCCTATCTTTCCAGCCACTAGTCTCCCCTCTCTCATCTGGTCCCAATCAAATCTACCCATTTGATTCTGATTCTGAAATTGATAATATTTGTTTTTGGCTGAAGTAATTTGTCACTTCACACTACCTGGTGTGGAAAATGAATCTCTCCATGCTTATTCACCATTTCAACAGCTGTTTTAGGCTGAGTACCAGACACTGGGTAAATATAAGAACTATCACGTGTTTCTCAACATATGGGAACATAGAAACTGAACATTTGGTCTCATTGTTGACAACTTTGTCTAAATTGCTCAAGCAATTAGGAATAGTTTTTGAAGTTAAACTCTTGTAGGAAAATCTGGCTGAAAAGAGAGAGAAACAAAGATATTATTATCTCCCATCAATTTATATTTACTTTTTATGCTAAACAACTGTACATGCAGATCTGTGCTAAAAAACACAATGCCAGAAAGAAAGAAAGAAAGATACCAGGGGAATGTATTCTTCATACTACATTGTATGGACTAGAAACATGCCCTACTGAAAAACTTTAAGGGCGAAAAAAATATCTCTGATATGAGTCACCAGCTTCATATCTCATCCACTGCTCCACCAATAAATAAATAAGCAATTATATACACATAAAAAAAAAAGGTATATGCATAGGTCTAAATACAGGTAGATCATGAGTTGTGGTCAATTTAAAGCAATATGTGACATATTTAACTTCAAACAGTGAATGCTGAATACAAAAAGCCCAGGAGTCTTTGACAACCATAGTGGTGTATCCAGCACATACTATCACAGGGAGATCCATATAGTCAAGCCAAAAACATACCCTTTTTTTTCTTTGCTGGTAAGCAAAAAATACACTGATGAACCACCAACTATGTATAAGAAAAGAAGAAAAGAAAAAGAAAAGATACTTCAAACACAAATACAAGGCCTGAGTGAAGCAGGTAAGCATGTATTAATATGCAATTCATTACGAAATATACGTACAAGTGATTAAGGTTTTCTGTGCTTTACTACTCAATACAGGGAGATTAAGTTATCATTTCGTTGACCAAAATCCAACTTGGCATTGGGGCCAATCTTCATGCCATATCTGGTATGCATACTGCCTCACTTTAGTAGGTCACCATTCCATTCCTAAATTTCACAAAGAAACTTCTCCACTTCTGCTTCTCACAATAGATAACATAGAAATTTGGAATTCATTAACACATTTATATCTTTCAATAAAATGTTGTCATCTTAAGAACATATTAAACAAAGTAAAGCATTTTGTAAACCATTAATTTTTCGAATATCGATAATGTATAAATATCCCACCCTCAAACTCCATCGGAAAACTACATAGACATCAATTTAAAAAAAAAATATATCGACAACATGGATAACTCTTGATGGTGGACCAACAGGATAGAACTCATCTTACTTTATTCAAAGAACCAGCTGTCAAACTCCATGTGGACCAACAGCGACCACACAATGGTCTACAGATCAGAACACAAATTTTTGTTAGGAAGAAGCTTGATGAGCTATAAGGTAGCAGAAAGGACAACCTGCTTTTAAATAAAATGTTCCATGACTCAAGAATGATGCCTTTCACTGTGCAGATGCCAATCTACAATCACTAAATTTGTGCAGAGTTTTTATTTATTAATCTTTTATTTTTAAGAAACAACTAAAATGTGAAGTTTAACCAAAGAGATTATGAAAGGAAATAAGAAATTTCATGTAATAGAAAAAAATGTAAATGCGCTGCCATTTTCATCTAAATTACTAAAACAAAGCAAGCAAATCACAACAAGAGTAATTGTTAGACAAGACGATTTATGGTGAGAGAGTCAAATCCATTACTTCAAGATGGGTGTATTTGAGGATTAACATGGTAAAAAGAAAAGAGCAGCAATCATGAATATGGCCTATGGCATTGCTGATACAAAGCCAAGAACACA